TAAAAGATTAAACTCTAATTGTCGCCTTTCGCGACATTCCCGGGCCCCCAATTGTTTTCTTTCTTCTGTTTCTTTCTATTCATCTCGTATACCATAGCATCAGATTGTCCCGCGTGCCATAAAGTGTATGTAGCAGTAAAGACGCAGTGAATTCCAGTTTGTCCTCGATGTCACTAGCCTGCGAAGCGGTTACGCATGGAATTGCACATATCAGTACGACGTTTGCCACGATCCTTGCTAGTCTCGTTAATCCGGTTCTTCTCCATTCTCTAGCTCCAATCCTTAATCTCTCTTTTTTATTTCGGATTGTTTCTCCAGCGCGCGCCCTCGTATAAGCAGTCTTCCTTTTCATCCACCTCCAGCAATGGAATCCAATCCTTCCAATAGCCACAATCATTCGAAAGTTTTGATGGCAAGATCGACAAAGAGTAAGCACACAGCAGAGTCCTGTAAGCATGGTCAGAGTAACAAGTGCCCAAAGAACACTAGCGAGACTGGGATTGCATGAGGGGTTCACAAGTAGGTCGATACAAAACGTGCAGTCCATCAATAAGCATTCGTTTAGAGCCGGGCACGTCATCTCTGTCCGAAACATTTCTCGCGAGCTTTTCCAAAAATTGGCCACACAGTGGTAGTCCGTCAAAAGCATTTCAGTAGGTAATTCGTATGATAGTTTCTGCACATTGTTTTTAATAACACACATTTCGTCGCAACATATTTCCGTTTTTTGATTTCCAACTGGACCAAAGACCATGACGCCTGTCAGTGTGCAATGAATCAAACATGTAGAACATGACTTAATCGCCAATGCCGTCGTGTTATTTAACAAAAAGAGCAAACAGAGTGCAACCAAAGTAAATGATGCCAATTTAGCTTTAGCCCTCGTAACCATAGGATGCGGTTTTACAGCTTGTTTTTCCACTCTTGGTTTATTTTGGCGGTGATTTTCATCCCTTTTGCTTTCCAATTCGCAGGCCAAATTCTTATTTGTTCTCTCATCATTTTCCATTTCCTTTTCATTTTCCTCCTCCACTTGCTTTACCTCGAGGGAATAAAGTCTGCTCACTGGCCGGGTAACAATTCTTCCATTAGCCATTTTTACTTTAACACTTCGCACAACGGATCCACTTGTATTAAGTTCCATCACTTTCCCTAGAGGCCAAAGGTTTCGTGGTCGAAAATCTTCCTCCACTAGAACAACTTCCCCAACGGTGGGTGAAGACATGGTTTGTAGCCTGGGGCCCTTGTGCTTCCATTTTGACCGTTCTCGCAAAAGGATTAAATATTCTGATGATAATTTCTCCCAAAAAGTGTCCAGTACCGTCAGTGTATTTTTCCAGATTATAGCAAGCTTTTTCTCTGGCAGTAAGCGTCTTTCGTCCTCCCACTCCTCAGCTGAGTCAAAATTCAAAGATATAGTTCCGTGTGGTATTAGAAAATCAATGGGTCTCAAAGGCAGCGGCGCATCACTTTCTCCCGAGACGTGTGAGATTGGACGTTGATTTAGACTAGCTTCTACTTCAGCTGTAAAGGTTGCCAATTGGTCATATTCAAGAATCTTCCTGCCAAGAGCTCTTTTAAAACACATTTTTGCCATGCCCACTAGCCTTTCGTATAAGCCTCCAGCCCACGGACTCAAAGATGGCAAGAATTTCCACTCAATTCCATTTAGGGCCAATTCTTCAGCAATTAAGTCTTTTTTAAGCTCATTCATGGTTTTGTTCGCTAGTACAAACTGTCCTCCATTATCGCTCATCATTCGCTTAGGGCGTCCACGCCGGCAAATAAACCTGCGAAATACATTTGTGAATGAAGTGGTCGAAAGATCGAGTGTCGGTTCCAAATAAACGGCACGTGTGGTTAAGCATGTTAACAAAACAATCCAAACTTTTACAACATTTCCAGAAAGTCTAGTTACAGTAGGTCCAAAGTAATCAACACCAGTGGATTCAAAAGGTACGTGGCGCACAACACGGTCAGTTGGGTGCGGCGGCATTTCAGGTTTAGCAAAGGGAGTTGACGAAATTCTCCGGCATTTTAAGCATCCACCAATTACTTTACGGACTGTTTGTCGCGCTTTCGAACACCAATAAGAACGCAAAAATTCAGTTAAAGTCCAATCAACACCTCCGTGCTGTAAATCCTCGTGAATGCGTCGGATTATGTGAGCGGTGAGAGGAGAGTGACATGATAACATTATCGGTTGTGCCAAATTTGGTTCCATTTTCCCAATAGCAGACAATCGTGTGTTTAAGCGTTTAATGCCATTTTGGTCAATCAAAGTTTTTTCGCCACAATCTTCAAGATAAACCCTTTGGTCATTCTTTATTAATAAGGTTTCAACAGTTTTAAAATCGTCGGCGGTAAAAGGTCCATCGACAGAAATAGCAGAAAAATTAGGCCTCACTTTTTTAATAAAACGCATCACAAACGCAGTTACTCGTGTTAAACGCTTCCAGGTTCCAAATCTAGTTAAGTCCATACATCGGTCATTTTTATTTATTTCTTTCGCTTTTTTAAGTTTTCTTTCTTTCACCAGATAGACTCGCGTTTCCTCTTCCTTTTGTTCCTGCAAATCGATTTCTTGTATTTCCCTTTTATTGACATGAAATTCCTTTTCAGCTGGCCATTTATTGGAAGAGCGTTTAAGCCACTCGGGTCCTTCCCACCAAAGGTTAGTATCACGCAGTACAATTGGACTCATCCCCCTAGTTGCGATGTCCGCTGGGTTCTGGTCGGTCCGCACATAATGGAAAAGCACATGTTCGTGCCGCCTTATTTCTCCCAATCGTCGCTCCACAAATATTGGTTGTGTTTCAGTTGTGTTAATCCAAGAGAGCGCTATTTGGCTATCACTCCAGAGGTGGAAACCAGCAATTTCACGTTTTAACTCATTTTTCGCAAATTCCATTGCTCTCACACCAATAAGAATTGCCAAAAGTTCCATGCGAGGAATAGTGAGCGTCTTCCCTCCTTTAAGCGGTTTCAGGCGATTTTTTGAAAAGATTAGGCTGGTCATGGATTTTTCGTCAATATGGCTTTTCAGATAAACGGCAGCGGCAAAAGACAAATTCGAAGCGTCCACGAAAGTATGCAGTTCCAAACGAGCCCCCGTCTCTACAATAATCTTTCTTGGTACATCGATGCTCTTTTGGTCCCAATCAGTTAAAATAGCTTTCCATTTGGTGGCAATAGAGACCGGCAACACGTCGTCCCAGTCTTTAGCGTTATTCCAAGAGTCTTGAAAGAGGCATTTCGCAGGTAGAAGACACGGAGAAACCAATCCCATCGGATCATAAACACTTGCCAAAACACTCAAAATTGAACGACGAGATGGCACGTTTCCTTTCAGTCCTGGAAATTCGAAGTGTATGCCATCAGACTCGAGCTGCCATTTCATTCCCAACACCTTGGCGTACTGCTCTACCTTTAAACGGTCATCGCTCGCAACTGAGTTCATAACTTGCGGTGAATGAGAAATAAATTCTCTTAGGTTCATTTTTGCCCTGGCGAATATTTCTTTAGCTTCTGTACATTTCGCGTCTGCCTCTTCTAGGGTTTCACATTCCAACAGTAAATTATCGACATAGAGGTTGTTAGCCATTTCCAATTTATCATTTTTGGCCAGGTGATGGCGAATAACCACTGCAAGGATCGCGGGGCTACAGATAATCCCAAATCCTACACGGCATATGCGATAAACAACTAGGTTCGTCGACGAAACGGGTTGCTTTACATCCCTCATCCATAAGAATTTGCAAACTTCGCGCTGGTCAGGTTCGAGTTCTATTGTCAGGAAAGCAGCTTGTATATCCGCCAAAACAGGGTATTTCGGACAACGGAAGCGTAATAGCAACCCAGCTAAGTCAGGCAAAAGCACAGGCCCTCGGTATAGGCATTCGTTTAGTGATGGGTTTCCTCTTCGATGAGCACTAGCATCATATACAATTCGCAATTTATGGGTCACAACACCATGATGGGGTAAATAATGTTCCAGTCCATTAGGGTTACGGTCTGCTTCCTCAATGATCCCCTCAGTTAACTGATTTTTGATTTGCGCGTCATATTTTTCCAATATGTCTGAGCCTCTGAGGTTATCAAGAACTGAGATTAGTCTGCTATAAGCCATTTTAAAGTTAGAGTCCAGCCGGGGGTTTTCCTCCTTCCATGGCCATCGAACCGAATATCTTCCCTCATTGGTTACAGTAATCGATTTTTCAATAAGCTTTGTTGCCACCTCATCATCATTTTGTGAGGGATTTTCTTTTATACCAATTGACTCCAAACTCCAAAAGTCTTCTACAGCATTAGGGGTTGGAAGATGTTCCTCATTACTCGAATGTACTGCCACCAAAGACATTGACTCTTTATTGGAATTGTGTCCAAAGTGTGTTTCGCCAGCTGTCATTGTGCCAAAAATAGTTCGGATAGAATGAAGACCCGGTAATATTTCTTTCCCTTTTGACACAAAGAATTTCCAAAATTGCCTAATCCCAATCATAATATCTGGCTTTTCTCTCACAATCTCAAATTCAGGGTGATTAGAAAAATATGTCTCGTCCACATTTAGCATATCAAACGGAGTTGCGATTTCCTCAGTGCAATTTAAGGCAATTTCTTCCCACCTTCCGTCTGTTCTTTGGATTTTTACCAGATAAGTAGGCGATCGAATTTTTAGCGGGTTAGACAGGGCACCTCCAAATCCAAGGATTTCCAATTGGTCAATTTCACGGCCTCTAGGCGGGTTGAGTTTTTCTACTAATCGGCGAGAAACAAAGCTCGTCTGGCTTCCAGTGTCAAAGAATACATAAACAGGGATTCTTTCTTTACGTCCTCTGGCAGTGACCATCAATCTCTTGGTCATCAGATAGGCAGTGGGTTTATTCTTAGCATCCATTACGGTAGCTACCACAGAATTCTCTTTAGGCGCTGGCAATTTGGCGTCGCAATTTGTCCCATGAACAATAGCATACGGTTGATCTCTTCTCTCCCAGATTGGATGTGACTGGGTGAACTGTCTTGGCTTAAAAACTGGTACAGGATGACTAGGCTGAACGAACGTCCTCTGATTGAATCCAACAAATTTGGGTCGGTTTTGGCTCTTGACATCTCGCGAAAAGCATACCAAAAAGTGGTGAGGTCCCTGGCATCTACTACAGCGACGGTGGTTCGGGCAGTCATTGGCTCGGTGACCCTCTCTTAAGCATTTCAAGCAACGGTTCTGTTCCATTAGGCGGTCCTTTCTTGCTTGCGGGTTTCCATATCTAGTACATTCGCTCGGAAAATGGTTTCCTTGGCACAAGGAACAACAGGACGATTTTGGTTGGTTAGCAACTGGAAATGAACGAGTAGGCTCTGGCTGATAAAATGGGCGTCTATCTCTCCGCGGCGGTCCTTCTGTTTCCTTATTAACCGTACATCTCTGCACTTCCTCTTTCACTGATATGAGCAAGTTAAGTTCTGATCTCCAATTCTCAATCTTCCAGGTTTTTCCTGCCATTTTCTCTTTTTCAATCAATTTAGCTAGTATTCCTCTGGGTAGCTTTTCTGTCGCGTCTAAACGCGAATTATAAATTTAATTAAAAATATAAATTTTATTGAAATTACTCATCCACAAAACAATTTCCCAGACTTTATCTAACATAATCATCTTAAAGTTTTTTATGTTCGCTTTGCCTTTTATTTAAATAACTTTTAATTCTCTATAAGTTGAGTTTTTCACTTTCATTCACTCTTCGTTAAAAAATATCCGCTGAGACTTTTTTTCTTAACCAATTGTATTTTTAAATTAAAAGAAAATAAATATTTGTATTTGTGTGTTTAAATTAATTAGTTTAAATTAGCGGTTTTTGAGCCAATCCGCTAAAGCTCAGCCGGTGACCTGTTCCGGACTATTTCCTAATTTGCCTGCGTTCTGCGGAATTGACACATACGGACTTCCCCCTTTTTAAGAAATTTTATTATTTTTAATTTTTAATTCACTATGTCCGCACCGTATCGTGACCAGCTCACTCTCCTACACGAGCAAGGTCTAGAAATTGTTGGTAATCAAAAGACTTTTCCCCTTCCACCCGATACGGTAAGTTTATCACAATTCCATTCCGACACCCGCAAATTGTTGAGCTCTTTAGAATTAGAGCTTGAATATGTTTCCGAGGCAATTTCCGAAATTTCTTCCACACACGAAAAATGGATGTCGGTCAGAACAAACATGACCGGAGCGGAAAGGACCGCCGACACTCCCATTTATGAAAATTTTGTGACCACCACCCCCTATTTAGGCACATTATTTCAACTGAAAAAATATTTAAAAAATATCCGTTCTTCTCGCCAAATTTTAATTTCCGCTCTTCCAGATCCCAACCAACCCACTCAATCACATATGCATTTACCGAAAATATCGCTTCCCAAATTTTCGGGTAACTGTATTGAATACGTTTCTTTTTGGAATTCTTTCTGTGCCGGAGTCCACGATTTGACTAGTATTTCCAATTCTGTAAAATTTTCCTATTTAAAAGAATGTCTAAGTGGACCGGCTCTTTTACTTGTCAAATCACTCCCACTCACCGATGCTTCTTACAACGAAGCTATTCGACTTTTAAAAGAAAATTACGGACAACCTGATGAAATAAACCGTAATTTACACATTTCCCTTCGCAAATTACCAATTGTCCATTCCAACCACGGACCGGAAATTTTGTGTAAAGAACTCTCGACATTTGTCGATGAGTTCGAAATAATTTATTTACAAATGCTAGAACAGAATTTCGACACCAACACACTCTCTATACAAATGGAAATTGAAGGCAAGCTCCCACCACTAATTTTGGAAGAAATACTCAAGGCCAAGGAAGCTGGTAATTGGAGCACCGACAAATTACGTAATGTTTTAAAAACTATACTTAAACGTAAACTTGGGGTTTGTGCCATAAGGGACCAAAATAAAGAAATCCAATCCCCCATGAAACCGCCTAAAATTAATAAATTTTTTACACCCACGCAGTCCCAATCGGACTCCTATTCACCACAAAACCAATCCCATTTACAAAGTTCTTCCCTCTCGTTTGCTACTCAGAGAAGAGAGCAAAATAAAATTTCTAGGCCAACTATTAGTCCAAAATTACCTTGCCTGTTTTGTGAAGACGCTGGACACTTTTCGTCCAATTGCTTAAAATTTTCCGATATAAATTCAAGACACTCCCGACTTAGAGCTCTTAGAAGATGTTTTAGGTGCCTGAAGCCAAATCATTTTGCTAGTAACTGTCCTTCGCCCAGTCAATGCTCTCAATGTCACGATAATCACCCTCGACCATTATGTCCTAGGAATTTGAAAAATGGTCACCAACAAACTAACAATATTCAATCCACATCCACCTCTAATAAATACACTCCAATACACACTAACCAAATTTCCCCATTATTCCCGAATTTTAACACACCTGTTTCATATCCCCCTTACCCAACTTTCCAACCGTATCCCGGATTTAATCCGTATTTTTACAATAATGTATACCCCCCATCCCCAATCCCTATACAAAATTTAAGCATTAAGCCAGCTACGACTCCACAGGCAAATGAAATGGAAAACAACACGAAAGACAACCATCAAATCAACGTTTCTACCAGCACAGTGCAGAATAATTCCAACCCAATATTGCTTAAATGTGTTTGCGCAAGAATTTTCAATCCTGCCTACCCAGCAATTAATAAAGAATTAATTGTATTACTTGACGACGCCAGTACAAATTCATACATCCGAACAGAAGAAGCTAGGTCTTTGAAATTGACTCTGGAAGAAACAACTATGAATTTGGGAGTATTTAACAACCCTAAATTTAAGCCAACACAGACTTACTCAACCACATTTGGAATCCAATTGCTGAATGGCCGGGTCTTACAGGTCAAAGCTAATACATTAGACCACCTCACTCATAGTACCTCGTACTTACCCTTTAGCCCTGAGGTACTTCAATACAGCGAATTAACCCCCTCAATTAAATCTACCTGCCCTACCATTTTATTAGGTAGTGATTTTTATTACGAGATAGAACCTACTCCCATTTGCCGTTTGCCTTCGGGCTATCACTTGATCCAAACTCTACTCGGCCCAATAGTTGCCGGAAAGTCATTTAAACACACTTACCAAAAAATTTATAACACGGTGACTAATTTTTGCGTCCAAAGTACCCCATTTGAACCAAACCCAGATTTCTTTACCCTGGAAGGTATTGGTATAACAGACCCTCCTCCAGCACTCACCGAAGATGAAGTATTCCAAAAATTTAAAAAAGAAATACGCTTTGTTAACAATCGATATGAGGTAAAATTTCCATTCAAAGCAGATCCTTCCACAATTTCACTACCGTCTAATTATGGCCTTTGTTACGGACGACTTCGTTCGGCTTTAAAAATTTTAAATAAAGACACTGCTTTACTAACAAAATACAATAACATCATCCAAGAACAACTAAAACTTGGAATTATTGAACCAGTAATAGACCCCACCCAATATTCACCACCCCTCCATTATCTCCCACACCAGCCCGTAATTACCCACAAACTTCGTATCGTATACGATGGATCAGCGCACATTGGAAAAGAAAATTCGCTGAATGACACATTAGAACCCGGCCCCGTAATTCTTCCAGATTTAGTCGGAATTTTACTCCGATTTCGTATCCCACAAATTGTAATTATAACAGACGTAATGAAAGCTTTTCTCCAAATCTCCGTCCACCCCTCACACAGGGACGCCACCCGATTCATTTGGCTTAAATCGATTGAAGAGCCTTTGAATAATAGTAATTTACAAATTTATCGCTTTACTAGAGTCCCTTTCGGCCTTTGCTGCTCGCCATTCCTATTGGGAGCTACTATTTTACACCACCTTTCACAACACCCTTCAGCCCTTTCAGACGAAATTAGCAATAACACATACGTTGACAATATTGTCTTTTCCGCTCAAAATATCCCAGACGCTCAAACTAAAGTAATTGCGGTAAATGAGCTCTTCGAAAAAGCAAATATGGAACTACAAGAGTTCGCTAGTAATTCCAAAGAAGCTCTTGATCCTATCCCCGAGACAAAAAGATTAAAAGGACCCTCACAAAAAATTCTTGGCCTTTGTTGGAACACCGATTCCGATTTATTTGAAATAAAAATAAAACCATTCCCTCCAACACAAATACTAACTAAAAGAAAAATTCTTGCCTTCATAGCGTCACACTTTGACCCGTTAGGCTTAATCACCCCATTAATTTTACCTTTAAAAATATTTATGCAATCTCTATGGGAAAATAAACTAAAATGGGACGATCAACTTCCAGTAGATTTGGTTGAAAAGTGGAATATTTTAATAAAAGAATGGACTGACGAAATACCTATCAAAATTCCAAGACGACTCTCAAATACCAATCAACAACAGAGATTCCAACTACATTGTTTTACAGACGCTTCTGAAGCAGCAATGTGCGCAGCAATATTTATGAGAATTGAAAACTTGCCTGATGGTAAAATGGACGTGAGACTTATTTTTAGTAAAACGAAAGTAAAGCCTATAAAAACAAAAAGAACAATCCCCCAATTAAAACTAATTGCCATTTTAATGGCCATAAAAGCCCTCCAATTTGTGTATAAACATTTAGAGAATTTAAATATTGACCCAATTATGAATCTTTGGAGCGACTCCTCAGTTGCTATCTCCTGGGTAAATACTAAAATACACATCCGTGACATTTTCGTTTCCAATAGAATTAAAAGTATTCAAAAAATCCCAAATTTGATTATTCGCCACGTTTCCGGTCAAGAAAACCCATCCGACTTGGGAACACGCGGAATTTCCTCAGTAAAGTCGTTATCCGCTAATTTAATGTGGTGGAGCGGCCCACAATGGCTCCCACTCCCTTCCACCTGTTGGCCAGACAATAAAGAGGTCAAGCCATTTCGCTCTAACGAATATAAAGGGCCAAAACAAGAGGAAGCAGAGAACCCTATATTCGCGTTTGCCATTACCCAACACCAATCAGTTTTTGATCTAACACACCACTCTAGACTATATAAAGCGTTGCGCTGTATAGCGTATGTCATTCGTTTTCTCTCTCAGTTAAAACCAAAATCCAAAATATTTCCAATGCTTAAAGAAAAATACCCGTCACTGAAAATTAGTATAAAAGAATATAGACGTGCGCTTTCGATTGTTCTTCAACAGGAACAGCGCTTATTTCCACCCACTGATAAAAATAACGAAGCACTAGGAATTTTTACTGATAACCAAAATATACTGAGGTCAAAAGGTAGACTAGGAAAATCCTCATTACCAATAAATACTATTGAACCGATCTACCTCCCGTCAAATTCTCATTTAAC